TATTTTCCAAAAGAAAAAAAAAAAGTCAAGGCCCATTGTTTCCCTCACATTTAGCTAAATTGCTAACAGAATCAAGTAATGCAATGGGTTATCTTATCTCAAGAAATTATTATGTAAAACTGAAATATACCACTATTTATCTCTATTTATCTCTTTTGGGTGGATTTCTTTTTAATGGAGGAGTAATCATATTTTATTCCAAGTGTCATTTCCAGATCAGGTTTTCCATAAGACAGACAGAGACCTTGCTCGGTCTGACGTTTCTGAACAGTCCCTCCTCACTTCAGCCTGGGAACTGACAGCAAAGTGGATGGCTGCAGGCATGGGACGGGGGCTTTCTGTGGGCATCAAAAGTTCAATCAAAGGAGATGTAACATTCACTCAGCACTCTGCTGACAGTAACCCAGTCCATTTTTCTCTATTTAAAGACTTTAATTTGGGGCCTGAGACCCACCACTCCCACACACAATACTCAGTAGTTTATGAGCATATTAGAAGTTCCCAGTTATGGGTATAGGCAGCAGGCTCATATCTGCATATTCTCAGCAACACCATCTGGGAATTGAGTTTGTTGTGCTGACTACAAGCCTAGGACTCTTCCAGACCAGCAACTCCAGCCTTTAATCCCTCCCCTTCTCCAAAACAAGAAGGCATGGCAGAATGTTAGATGAGAGAGTATAGAGGCTTGATTCTACCAGAAGGGTTTTTTTTAATAATTAATTTTTTTTTGAGACATGGCCTTGCCATGTTACTCAGGCTGGAGTGCAGAGGTGCTCATTGCAACCTCTGCCTCCTGGGGTCAAGTGATCCTCCCACCTCAGCCTCCAAGGTAGCTGGGACTACAGGAGCATGCTACCACACCTGGCTGATTTTTTGTATTTTTTGTAAAGAACAGGGTCTCGCCATGTTGCTTAGGTTGGTCTTGATCTCATGAGCTCAAACAATCCACCCACCTTGGCCTCCCAAAAGTTCTTGGATTACAGTTGTGAGCCACCACTCCCAGCTATGTTTTTAATTTAAAAATAATTCATAAATGTTGGCACTTTATCAAGATGAAAAATGAATTGAAACACTTCAGAGTGGCAGCACCATGCCAAGAACTGCTGCACTGAACACTAAAGCTACCTGAGTCACCCAGTGTGGAGTCACACAAGTCAACTCTAACTCCCCGACTGGCTGGCTGCCTGGCAGACATTCTCTTTATAGAGAATGGACCAATACCCATGACTGTATACAGTGATAATTAAGAGCACAGACTCTGAGGCAAGCCTGCCTGAATTCAGATCCTAGCTTCACATTGTTTGCTCTTCATTGGAGCTGTTCAAAAAATTTCAGTTCTCTTCTTCCTGATGTAGATGATGGATTACTCTATCTGCTGCCTTGAAGTTGGGCATGGTCATGTGACTTGCTTTAATTCTTTTGAGGGCAAAAGTGATGTGTTGCTTCTGGGCAAAATCCAGGAAGCCCTCCTTACTCAAAGTGTGGCCCACAGTCCAGCAGTACAGGCATTGTCTAGAAGGCTGATAGAAACGTGGCATCTCAGGCACCTCTAGGACCTCCTGAATCAGAATGTGGATTTAATAAGCTTCCCAGGAGATGCCTATGCTTATGTCTGTGAAGCCCTGCCCTAAGGTATAAAGCATTATTCACCATGTTCTCTTCTCTGGCCACAGCAGCTGATGTTCCCGGTGGAGTTTCCTTTAGCCAGGCTCCTGGTCTGACCTGAGATGGACAACAAGCAAGACAGGAGAAAAATAAGCCTTTGTCCTAAGCCACTACAACTTGAAGGCTGTTACATTGGTTTAACTAGCTCCTTCTGAGTGATGTGATCGCTTAGCACTCTGTGACCTTGGGCAAGTTACATAATCTCCCTGTGCCTCAGCTTCCTTGAGGTAAAACAGAAAATAATATCTTAAATATGGTGATCATAAATAAAATGTATTATTTATTCTAAACCCAAATAAAATGATATATTATCTTTTCTCCTTGCCACTCTCTTAAATTGTATATAAGGAAATAAAACATTCCAACCCAGAAAACATATTTTGGTGTCTTAGGTTTTTCCTTTACATTTATAAACCAACTTTTAAAAAGGAAAAACAAAACCACAGTACTGAAACAATTCACAATGAGTTGCACAACGAGCCATATTATTCAGCTCCAAAGTCACAGAATTTGAACAAGCAGCTTCCAACCTCAGCCTTTTACCTACTCTAGACCAGGGGCAGCTAACATTTTCTCGAAGGGCCAGATGCTAAATATTTTAGGCTTTGTGAGCCACATGGTTCGTCACCACAGCTCAACCCTGCCATTGTAGCACAAGAGCAGCCACAGACAACACAGAAACAAATGGGCATGGCTGTAATCCAGTGTAGCTTTATTTATGGATGCCGAAATTTGATTGCCATAAAACGTTCATGGGTCACTAAATATTATCCTTCTTTTTTTTTAATCACTCAGAATTGTAAAACATATTTTTAAGTCATGAGTGGTACCAAAACAGGCAGCGGGCTGAATATGGCCCACGGGCCATACTTCGTGGACTCCTGCTCTAGATTCTCAAGTTCATGCTTCAACTTGTCAAAGAAAAATCTATTCTGACACGTGTTAAGGTACAAAGACTTTATTCAGGACTATAGTGATAGGTTTTAAAACTATCACAGCAGAGGAGAGAGATTGGGCTCAACTCTGAATAAAACCAGAACATGTCGGGGTTTATAACTAATAGGCAGAGTGAGGGGGTCAGTGATTAGAAAATTACTAAGAGGAGCTATCAAGAGTAGGGGAGTTCTTGCAAAAGGAACTTAACAGTTTCTCGTTGAAGGGAGTTCAAGGACTTAGACATCAAAAGTAAGGGATGAGAAATTTCATAGATATTGAGGATGGAGGATTCTCTCTAAACTGACTTAGCAAGATTCTTGCTAAAACTGGGCTCTATAGGCCTAGCCAGAATGCGGACCAAAGTGGAGGCCTGGGTGAGAAGAGGACTCGGGACCTGACCAAAGTTTGGTCAAGGAGAGAGCCTTTGTCAAACTGCACCACAAAGGGTCCTCAATAGTCATGGATACATGGTGTTCAACTCAATATCCACTTAAAAATCAGGTGAGAAATAGTCACAAGCCTGTTTTTATTAGCTCCACTTGAAGAAAATGTAAGATCCCAAAGGCGTCAAACTTTCAGCAGAACTTACACCAGTCTTACCCATAAAAATAACCACCCCTCACTCCTTTCCTTACTACACAAAATTTGCAGTTTACAAAGGAAATAGTTGGCGGTTGTCTTCATAGATTAAGTCAATGTAGTCTTATTCCTTTGCCAAAAGGCAGAGAAACCAGTTCCTGTTCCTCTTTTCCCTGGGGCTAGTCAAGGCCAGTGAATGTAGGACCGCTGGGAAAGACGAGCTTTGGTTTCATCACAGATTTTTAACAAGGCACTATGCTACTTTTAAAAAAGATTTAACTAATTTTTTCAAGAGCTTTGGCTTTTGCTATTTTTACTGACGTTTTGAAAGTAGCAGTGCTTACAACATTTTAAGTCTAGATGTCTCTATGGAAACCCAACATAACTCATATTTTATGGCCAAACGACAATCTACCTAGAGTCTTTATCCCATTGGATCACCAGAGGTCATCTGCAATATCAGAAACATCTGAGGTCTATTTTTCCAAAACCCTATCTTATCAAGCTTAATGAAATTTATATAATTATTACTTTTGCTAAGGAGGAAGTTAGGAAGGAAAGGATTTACTTCTCAGGCTTAATTCTAATGCTTATTAAGACATCATTATTCAAAATATTCTTATTAGAAAATTTTTTTATCAATTTTGGCAAACATAGTAAAAGAGGAGGAATGCAATCAAATAATTTAATAGCTGCTTTGAAATTTATGTCATTAATTTTCCTCCTCTCCTTTCCATCAGTGTCAAATACATTTTCTGTTTAAAATGTAATAGCTCCTCTTCCCACAGACGGCTTATTCATTGCAACAGAGAAAAAACTAATTATATAGTGAAGAAACAGGAACACACCTTGACCAGATGACCAAAATTGACATCACCTTTGTGTGATGGCCTTTTTGTGCCTTCAGATGTGATGCCCCGTGAGGAACTTAACATCGCCCAGAATGTACGACCTGAATCTAATCATGAGAAAACACCAAATATATTTAAAACAAGGACCATTCTATTATTTAAAAAAGAAGAAAACGTAGAGGAGGCAAAATGACTGTCTTATTTAAAAATGTCAATTCACAAAAGACAAAGAAAGCCCATGGAAATGTTCCAGATGAAAAGAAGCTAAAGGCAGCCAGGTGCAGTGGCTCACGCCCATAATCCCAGTGCTTTGGGAGACCAAGGAAGGAGGATCCCTTCAGCCTAGGAGTTTGAGATCAGCCTGGGCAACATAGGAAGACTTTGTCTCTCCAAAAAAAAAAAAAAGGTTAGGTGTGGTGACATGAGTCTGTGGTCCCAGCTACTTAGGAGGCTGAGGAGGGAGGATTGCTTGAGCCAGGTTGAGGCTGCAGTGAGCTGTGATCATGCCACCAGGCAACAGAGTGAGACCTATCTCCAAAAAAAGGAAGCTGGATTCAAGAAAATGTAACACTGGACCCTAGATGGGATCTGGGATTGTAGGGCAGTGGGAACACTTCTTTAAAGGACATTATTTGTTCAGCTGATAGAACTGGAATACAAATGGAGTCAAGTATATCAATGTTGAATTTACTTAAGTCAATAACTGTATTGTGATTATGTAAGAAAATATCCTATGCTTATGAAATACTGAAGCATTTCAGGGTAAAAGGCATCTATTTTCGTTTCTTAATTTTTCTTTAAACTTTTTATTGGGAAAGTGTATACGTAAACTTTCCCAATAAAAAGTTTAAAGAAAAATTAAGAGTTCTTGCCTACACTGAAGTTCTTGGCCATCTATTTTCTCTCTATGATATTCCAAATACAACACAGGATGAGACAGCTGTGCCAAGTAACAAGAAAGCACAAAGATATTTTAACATGATCTTTTATCAGTGATTGAAGCCTGCCAAGGCATTACATACCACCCATTCTCCACAGTTTGTTGCAAAGACCAGCAAACATTGGATAACTCCAGCAGCTTCTAAATGTAATAATTTCCCTCAATTTTGCTAAACAGGGCAGTGATTGTAAAACCGTTTTGTATCTCACAACTTTCAGAACTATTTCATATACAAAACAAGTCTTTCAGCTGGTCTCTTGGACGGGCACTATCAGTATCAATCAACTGAATTCAAGCTTTTGAACTAGGACATCTTAATATTTTAATCCATGTCTAAGTAGCTGGGGAATGTGGTACTCAGGAAGCTGGACGAGCTCATCATATATCCACAATTTCTCATCATCACTTGGAAATTGTTAGCAGAATTCCACAGAGATAATGTCTATGGCACCCTCAATGGTCCTGCCCTCTGATCTACAGTATGCCATATTAATGATTTTCTCCCAAAGTGATGGAGGGAACTGTGCTCCAGTTCAAAAATTCAGGACAGACTTTTTGATAAGTCAGTCACTAGGGAGGGAACCAAAAAGATGGTAAACCACAATTAAATTGTTCAGCCATGCTTCAGAATCAGGAAACACCACTTATCCACCATTCTCCAAAACAGCAAAGACAGAACATATGTATATTGTTAAGTCTTTTCTATCCTTCCCTGTCTATCATTTTATAATTTCCTTGATTCTTTTAGTAGCGATCATCTCTGGGCTGGAATACTCACAGACTATTTTCAGCTTTGGCTTTTTGTCCTAGATAGTCTTATTATTCACTTTCCCCAAATTTCAATCAGTAATTTCATTTAGCAAATTTTTACCATGAATCTACTGGACATAAGATGTTCAGCCAGACTTACTAGGTGGTACTCTACAGAGGCAAGACTTCAGATTGGCTGTCCTACAAATAATCTCCAATAAAATGATATGAACACAATAAGTGCAATGAAATCTGCTTACAGAAAAGCAAAAGAAGCCAGAAATAAATTATGAGCAACTGCAAAACGGAACAAAGTAGTCAAAGCACTAAAATTTAATGAGAAGATAATTTTTAAAGTGGATGAAATTGAAGGTGCATATAGCATTATTTTAGATTTAAAATCATGCATATTCTTCTCCATAAAACTTCTCAAATGCAGTTAAAAACACACACACAAAAAACCAAGCAATTATAAATCCTCTGAAGCATGTAACTGTGATTAGCTGCTACTCTCAGCAATATAAAAATACTTTCACCACAATTACATTCCAGCCTGTAATGTAATTCAAAACAAACAAGTCAGAGACATTGCTCAAATGGCAGAACCAACAAATACAGATGCTTTGCATCAAGGAAATGAATCTACGGAAGAAATGCAACAGAGGAGCAGCAGCCCCTCCAGTCCAGCTGGGCTTCTGGTGGAACGGCGAGGCCCCCTTCTGGGCAGAGGCACACAGTACGCCCAGTGGAGCTATGCAAAGCTGCCCTGCAGTCAGGGAGGTGAACGCGGGAATTCTGCTGTGGATACCCTTTCCAGTGTGGTGTTCAGAGGTTTACATTTTAGATTTCAAATTTTAAATTTATTATATGGATTTTTAAAGGCATAACTATTTGGTTTAAGATTAAATTGACCATTCTGTTTTTCAGCCAGCATTCTCACCACCAACTGGCACGCCTAGCCCATTTACCCTGTGTTCCTTTTGCTTTTTGCCATAACTCTTATTGTCTTCCAATAAACTGTGTAATCTATTATATCCATCTCCCCTTGCGAGAATATCAGCTCTACGAGGGCGGGATCATTTGCTTTTTTGCTCAATAACCATCCTCCCATTTATGTCTTTATCTTTTAAGACTATTCATCTTCAAAGAAGACATAAATAAGGTTTTATTATAGCAATATGCTACAATTTTTAAATGACAACTCAAGCACTTGTTTTAAAAGTATGCATTTTCCCTAAATGCTTTATAAAAGCAAAGTCTTTTCTAAGGATCATATAACTATGGTCTATATATACACAACTCGTATACAATTTAGAGAGAAGTCACAGCCCCCAGTGCCCTGTGAGAACATGGTAGCTGCAAAAAATGTTAACTCTGACTGTGAAATGCCAGTCCTGGCGGTGTTCTCAGGGTGGCACACTGCAGCCCAGACACACGCCAGGTTACCTGGGTCTGGCCACACATTCTCTAAAAAGTCAGCACTTGCCTGGACCGGGCACAATGTTGTGGCTGGAAGGGAACGTACTACTTGCTAATTTCTAAAACCTCAAACCTTAATTTTCCCCCATCCTAAGATGGGGATCAGCTTGTGGAAAAGCTACTAATTGTTTACAATTGTCAGGCTTCTAAAAAGTGCTAATTTGTTCCCTTAACAGAGAAAATGATGAGAGACACCATTTTCCCACAGATTAAAAACAATATATAAACATATGATTCAACGATGTCAACAGCTCTCGATCTAGGAATCTTGTCCAGGTCACTTTGGGTCACTTGGTTCTTTCATCAGAACAAGTTCAAGATTTCTGACATTCCTTTTTCCGAACTTTCGATTTTGGTGCTGTGAAAAGAGTAGAAAAGAAAAAGGAAGTGAACAGGTAAGCTCATATCAGACTCTCCTTGTATGGATTTAAGGGAGGCATATTATCTACAGTCGAAAACTGACCATTTGGATTTTCTTGTTTGTAGAAGGTCTTCAACATTTCCACTGCTTCCTCAGCCCGATATCCAGGGATACACTGATGAGAAAGTGGAGAATGAACATAGGCCCAAGCAAATGTGTGTCGTATCCCATAATAACAATAATATATGCATAATTATGTAAACAGATTTCAGATGTTAATAAACTTTGGGGATATTAGCATGGGCAAGGAGGTACACTTCCAAAAGATGTTGATATATGGCCTCAGTGCAGCATCACTCCCAATCCACTAGTATTCATCCATCAACTGTCACAGAAGTTACCAGCTTTGTGACCTTGGGTTAGGCACTTAAACTCTCCATGCCTTGTTTATAAAATGTTGGCAGTAATAGCACTTACTTCTGAGGGATTTTGTGAGGATTAAGTGAGATAATACCTGTCAAATACCTGGCACATTGTAAGTGCTCATTGAGCATGAGTTATTTTTATCTGCCCCTATTTACTAGTGGCCCATTAAGCATTTGATGCTATCGAGCTAGGGCTGGCAAATTATACTTGGTGGACAAAATCTGGTCCACAGCTGAGAACTGTGAACTAAGAATTATTTTTATATTTTAAAAGCTTTGTTTTTTAAAAAAAAGATTAGGTGACAAGAGACATAAGTGGCTCACAAAGGATGAAATATATACTAGCTAACCCTTTGCAGAAAAAGTTTGTCAACCCTTGCTACAGAGGATTTAAAAAAATAAAATTCAGCTGGATCTATCATTAGCATATAACTGGAGAAAAGACATCATAACATGTGAAAGAATAAATAAGAAACCGTGATATCAGTAAGGAGTGTTACCATATGAAATATTACCTGAAGAAGATGAAACTCGAACTTGCCTTAGAGATAGAGAATGTTTAAAGAGGCTAAGCAGAGCCTTTCAGGGAAAGGGCAAGCAGCAGCCTGGGCTGTGTGTGAGGAAATCAGCTGATAGAGGAGGAGGTGATTATTAAGGAAGCATAAGGAAAGAAAGACATAAAATGGGGTTAAAAAAAATATGGACAGCTTTAAAAGCTTGTCAGAAGAGTTTGGACTTAAAACCATGCACCCTTCTAAAGTGCATGAAATGACACAATGAGCATCTGGAAGGAAGGCGCCAGAAAGCACAGCCACAGAGGACAGGAGGACCAACTACTGTGGGACGCTGTTCGGAACGATCCTCCCATTCTCCTGTGTCTTCAGTGTGCCCTTGCCTGGGCCTCCCACGCCTGCATAAACCTTCGCCATAACAAATAACCTTCCATCCACCCTGCCCTGTTGAGGGCTGCCACCCTGTTCCTGCCTTCACTCATGCTCTCACTTCCTCAGTGGCCTCGTCGTCATGGGCTTGTGTTCCCAGCACTTCACTGAGTCTGCTCTCTCAGAAATCCCCAGGCCCCTACTGACCAAAGCATGGGGCCTCCTTTCAGCTTCCTTGACTCTGCGGTCCTAGAGGCAATGGGCCACACCTGCTCTGTCTGACCGCTCTTGCCTCCCTTGGCTTCTCAGCATCTCACCATGCTAACCACTGCCAGCCAGTACCATCACAGCTGCCCTCTGCTTCCTGCTGCTAAGTGCTGGAGCTCCCCAGGAGTCCCCTTCCACTCCACTCACACACTCAGAGCCCTCTCCTCTCACGTGGGGTGAGAGCAGTGGTTCTCAACCATGGCTGCTCACAACTGCTTGGAGCTTGCTGGAAACACAGCACTGTTGGGCCCCTGCCTTCTGATTCAGGTGGTCTGGGGCAGGGACTGAGCACAGGCAGATGCTGAAGCTCTCCAGGTGATTCTAATAGGCATTTAGGGATGAGAACCACTGAGTTACAGGCCTTGAAGGAAACCGCACCACTCTAACACACCAAGATAATATTTTCAGGTATCCATTACAGTGACAAATTTGTGACGTTAATAAAAAGCACACATTCTTAATAAAATAAAAATTTTAAAAATGTAACAGGTATTATAATCACCATCTTTGAATAGTTCTGTAGGCCTCTACAAATTTTAATGCTCCTTATAATATGGTATGAAAAGAATCTGTAATTCTACAATAGGAAACAGTAACCTACCTCCCAGTCACCTGCTGCCTCCCAAGCCCAGCCAAATAAAATTTAAAAAAAGAATACCCAGCACTCAGAGCCTGGGGCACCACTGTTTTCTTTAGAATCTAAAAGCAACTTTAAAAAAACAAAACAAAACATAATTTGGCATTAAGCCTGGAGATATGGCTGCAAGCCATAGGCACTGACTGGCAGCTGAACTGATGTGGCCAGGTAAACACACTGCAAATGAACTTGCTTTGGTTCTGCTGCATCGACCACAGAGATGTGTGAGAAAGGACTGTGTTTGTGCCCTCATGTCACTGACACCTTGTAGAGGAATATTCTACCCATGTCTGACATCAAAGGGCTCATCTTTGTTCTCCCCAGAAACTGAATTTTTTTTTTTTTTTTTTGAGATAGAGTCTCACTCTGTCACCAGACTGAAGCGCAGTGGCGTGATCTCAGCTCACTGCAACCTCCGCTTCCCAGGTTCAAACTATTCTCCTGCCTCAGACTCCCGAGTAGCTGGGACTACAGGTGCACACCACCATGACCAGCTAAGTTTTGTATTTTTAGTAGAGACAGGGTTTCACCATGAAACTGAAAAATTCTTTAGCTCATTCTCACAATGGCATTAGAGTCAGCAATTCATTTGCAAAGAATTATATAAGCAAAATTTGAGCTACTAATAGAAGTGACTGGAAAAATCAACTCACTTTGTTAATGCCTTTATTGATCAAGCCAACTGTACCCTTCACTCTCCATCACTGCACTACAATTTCTTTTCTGATGTAATGTTAAACAGTATCTATCCTCAAATGTACAGAAGTTGACAGGAAAGCTAATGTTCAGCTAGAAAACTCAAGAACGTTGTAAAAGCTCATTCTCGGTGAGACTCAGCCACGTTTAGTCCTTAAAGTATTATAGAAACACCTGAGGTTTTTGAAGTGAACTGCCCACCCATATCCAGCATTTGTTAAATCTTTTCTTTTTAAAGCATAATACTTTTACATTAACCTTGCATCTTGGAGAGAAAAACAATCAAACCAGTTAAAGAAAGCAGAGGTATATTTTCAGACCAAACTTTGAAATACAAATTCCTATTGCTTATAGTCTGACTCATAAAAACTTTGGGAGAACTGGCAAGGTTAAAGGGAAAGGGGAATTTCTAAGAGACTAACAGACATGGATTCTTAGGTCTGGGGGAAATTTCAACATTAAAAAGACAGGAAAGAAAAAAAAAACATGAAAATACGGTGATTGCTAGATACTAAAAGTAGAATATGGCAATCAAGCAAAATGATTAAATTTGTGCAAAAATATTGTTTGTGCTGTAAATAGTATCTACCGTCACTGACACAGGCCAAGCATCACCAAACTTGGTAGAGCAGAGAGCTGGTAACGTTCATTGAATAAAAACTCCAACAGCGAGAGTGTCTTCAAGTATACCTAAAGGTGTTGGTGAAGAATGGGTGGAGTCGGCTAGGAAGGTTGGGGACTCTCCTTCAGGAGGGAGTCTGTGAAAGAAGAAAGGTAGGCACTCATCTAGAAACCCTTCACTGTCGTCTTCTACTGAGGCATCAATGAACTCCACCAGAGGCCCTGAGATCCAAGATGTCTGATTTTATCATGATTTTTCTGTATCCTGGCCATACACTAATTATTCATAAGCCCATAAAGAGATGAAAATAATTAGAAAGAAAGAAAAAGCATAACCAGACTGTATTACCTGAAATGGTCTCCCAGTATTTGGTAAGTCAGCAGAGGCAATATTTAGAACAGAGCCACAACCACCAAATCGTTCATTCTGACAGCCATACACAACCAGCGGGATTTATAAGACAGAATTAAGGTCCTGCATAGAATGTACAGTTTAAGTATGTATCATGACAAAATCAGAGTAGGTTTATACTAGCCATCCTGGAGAGGAAAGCTCATGCTACTCTTCAAAACAATGAAGCTGAAGCTTAGGATTAGTCTTACAAACCATACAATCCAGTTACACAGAAGAAAAGGGGTTTAAAGTATTGAGAAATTGACATTTAACAATTGCAAACAGAATGAAAACTGAGTATGTGGTTGTTTAATGTTCACAATTAAGGGCTCTCTCTGCTCTTTCCTAAATCACTTTTTCAGAATCATTAGGGAGTCAGAGCCAGAAAGGATGCAGAAATTTAATCCAGGGATTTTCACCTTTTAAAAATAACATATTCATCCCTGTTCTTGCCCCAAATAAAATATAACCTGTGCCCTAACACAAAACAAACTAAAGCTTAGCCACTCTGTAAGGCAGGGTGAGGAGAGAATTCTAAGTTTACCAATAACAACCTTTTATAGAGACTGTACATCTTATCAAACCCAAAACCTCTGTATTATTTTTAAAGTGATAAAATTATTCATCTGTGTGTAGCAAAATAAGTACATAAAAAATAAGCAACCAAAAAGCTGTTTTTCAATTTTCAAATAGTTTTTAAAAAGATCTGTAGAAGTCCCTACAGAGTCTCCACACTCAGTATTTATGTTGTTTACTCCATGCAAGACAGTCCAAAGAGCTGTAACTTTACTCACTTTCTATTTACAATTAGAATATCTAAAGGATTTTTTACGTCTTATTTAGTTTTTACTTATGATGTTTGATACATTGTAACAGGCATCCATGGCAAACAACCAACAGATAAACAAAAAAAGAAAAATTTTAAATCACCCATAATCCGTTATCCAAAGGCAAAACTTAGCTGCATATTCTTTAGGACATTTCCTTTGCAAACTGTTTTATAATCCACTTCAACTTATTATGATTTATCTTTACATAACTGTTTAAGAGAGTTTTAATATTTTCTTTCTCTAGACTGTTTAATCATTCTATGTTTATTGATATGAAAAGAAATATGTCATTTTACTATTTAAACAGCTTTGCTGTTTTTGGTGAAGAGACGCTACATTTTACAAGGTGTTTCCTAAGTCTGTGTTTTCATATTTTGGAAAACCCGCTATGTGTTTGGCCACTCTCTTGTTCACATGAATGGTACAAGACATTAACTTATGAAGTCAAAGGATACTCATCAGGCGGAGAGCAGCTGCACACATAATGCACGGCTCCACAGTGACATACAACACAGTGTGTTCAAACACTTCAGATGGACTCTTGCCACTTCGATGACACCAATCGAGGACCTGATCGATGGCCACCATTTCTGCATGTCGAGTGGCCTGAAAAGAGAAAGGGGCTTGCACTGATGTTGTCTGCTTCATGTAACTACTATTTTACAAATATACAAAAAATAAGTACAAAATATACACCTATCCTTTCTGCCAATATTTTAATGAATACAGTTCCAAGACACCCTCAGCAGTTGACAATGTATTCCCCAGTTCAAGTATCATAACCTCACTAGCAAAAGGTATATAATCAGAGATGCCATATGAATCATACTGTATTTTTAGTTAAGTACCTAAATACCTTATGGGAAACTCTTTCAGTTAAAATGCCCTGGAGAAGGTAAGTCTGAAAAACAAACCAACAAAAAAAAGATAAAGTCTATGGTTTCTGAATATTTTAGGGGAAGCAAAATTTTCATAAACTTGTGCTCTAGTTTCAAATATATTTTCAAGGCTTTCACTGACATCACTCCAAGCAAATCTACATTAAGTTTACTGGGATGTCATCTCTTACATTTTTGGGGAATGAGGTTTTATATACTGGAAGACTCTAGAGAAGTAGAGATTTAGTACTGGTTTCAGACACTTCATGGGAAGCAGCAGAGGATAGAAGAAATCACATAGCATGTGGAATTGACGATATTTAAATTTGAATCTTGACAGTGACATTACTAATTATATAAACTTAGGCAAGTTACTTAACTTCTGTAAGTCTTGGATTCCCCACATGTAAAATGGTATACAGTGGCATCTACACTTTTACACCTTATAAATCTGAATTACATCAAGCATGGTGCCACATAATACTACACATGTACTCTGCTAGCTCTTGTCTCCTTCCTCCGTTACTAAATAGCTTAAAGTGAATCATAGATTCTATATGGAAAAATTATTTCTAATATTCATGACAATAGCATTTATCAATAATTTACACTCAGTGCTAACTATGTATAAGCTACTGGGCTAAATAAATTCTGTGTAGGATAAAAAGTTTCTGTCCTCAACAAGCATAAAATCTGGTGGGGCTCATTTGCCTGTGAGATAGGGCAGGGTGAGAAAAGTGCTGCCACAGTGGCCCAAGATGCCACAGAAGCTACAGGCAGATGGGATCAAAGCCAGCCAAGAGGCTACATGGGTGAATCGCAGAATTAATTACCAGAGATAGAGGTACTTTAGAGAAGAGGTTCCCAAACCTGGCTGCCCATCAAAACTAAATGGAGAGGTTTTATTTAAAAAAAAAAAAAAATGTTTCCCCAACCTGGGTGCTTTCAAAAAATCAGATTTAGAATTATGGAACCAGATCTCCCTGTAGCTCTCAATAAACAATTGCTGAGCTCAATCATCTCAGTCAAATCCCTCTATTACTACCAAAGAAAATGAAGCTAAGCAAAGCTGGCACATGTTAATCACACACAGCTGGGAGAGGAGGTGGTAGTGGTGACTGGGTGGTGGTGTTATCAGAGCCAAAAGTAGAACTCAGGTGTCCTCATTTGGGGTCAAGTGTCTCTCTATGCTGTAGTTATAATCTTCTTTATGACACATGCTAACAAAATAAACCCAGGTTAATTTCAGCATATAGAAGAAACCCAGGTCACTGGATGGGGTTAGACGGATATTGTTAGGATAATCAAAGTTCTCATCTTAAAGATGTCATACACAAAATGCAAATTAGAAAATATGACCACGATTTAAAATACAGAATTCTACTCATTAATCCATTCATTAATCGCTGTATTGTGTATATTACTTATATCATGTTTTAATATCTTCTTAATAATTGCGTTGTGATTCAACATGAATATAATTAAAACATTTTTAAAAATTATTCAAAACATTTTTTCAAAAAAAATTTTGCATGTTTTATAGTATTTTAAATTGATATTTAAACTTACATCATTTTTCAACAAACATCAGCTAATTGTTTACAGAGGTATGTGAACATGCTTCTGTTTTTTCTAACTGAAATGGTAATGGCTAATTATAAAAATGTTAATTCTGCATGGGAATGACTATTCTGACAGTTAAATAATACTCTCAATGTTAAGATAATGATAATTATTTTAACATTGTTTGAAATTATTGTACATGTGAGTTAAAATTAAAAGATGATATATATTCATATACTGTTACATAACAAACTTTAAAATATGATTTATACCAAAAGAAACTGTCTGGAAGAATATGTAAAATTTTAATAGTCCTGCGCAGAAAAATGAGAATAGAACTGCTTCTACTTTCTGTATTTGAATTTTTTTTTTTTAGATGCAATTTCTCTCTTGTTGCCCAAGCTAGAGTGCAACGGCCCGATCTTGGCTCACGGCAAACTCAGCTCACCACAACCTCTGCCTCCCGGGTTCAAGCGATTCTCCTGCCACAGCCTTCTGAGTCGCTGGGATTACAGGCATGCGCCACCACGCCTGGCTAATTTTGTACTTTTGGTAGAGAAGGGGTTTCTCCATGTTAGTCATGCTGGTCTCAAACTTTCGACCTCAGGTGATCAGTCCACCTCAGCCTCCCAAAGTGCTGGGATTACAGGCGTGAGCCATTGCGACCAGCTTGTATTTGAAATTTTAAAAAGGTATGTCAAAATCAGCATTTAAACAACAAAGAAGGCCCTGACAGTGGCTGAGCTTCCCCAGCAGATGTTTGATGCCAAGAACATGGTGGCTGCCTCTGACCCCCAAAATGGCCTCTACCTAGCAGAGGCTGCCATTTTCAGGGGCGGCATGTGCGTGAGGGAGGTAGAGGAGCAAATGCTTAATGTTCACACGAAGAACAGCAGCTACTTTGCTGACTAGATCCCCTACAATGTGAAAACATCTTTCTGGGACATCCCACCCCCAGGGCTAAAAATGTTCACCACCTTCATCGGTAACAACATGGCCATCCAGGAGCTGTTCAGGCACATCTCGGAGCAGTTCACAGCCGTGTTTGGGCGCAAGGCCTTCCTGCACTGGTACACGAGGGAGGGCAGGGATGAGATGGAGTTCACTGAGGCCGAGAGCAACATGAACGACCTGGTATCTGAGTACCAACAGTACCAGGATGCCACTGCTGAGGAGGAGGAAGAGTTTGAGGAGTGGGATGAGGAGAAGGGGTCTGGAGCTTTCTGTTAGTGGGTGAAGGGTTGGGGCAGTATGAATTCTCCATTTACTTACAACGTGTTTTGTGAAAGCCACGTCTGTGTGTGCACTTGCTGTTCTTGCTGCGTGTTCACCTCTATTAAAGCATTTCCAGGGCCAGGCAAGGTGGCTGTCGCGTATAATCCCAGCACTTTGGGAGGCCGAGGAGGGCAGATCATAAGGTCAAGAGATCGAGACCATCCTGCTCAACATGGTGAAACCCTGTCTCTACTAAAACTACAAAAATTAGCCGAGCGTCGTGGCATGGGCCTGTAGTCCCAGCTGCTCTGAAGGCTGAGGCAGGAGAATTGCTTGAACCCAGGATGCAGAGGTTGCAGTGAGCTGAGATTGTGCCATGCACTCCAGCCTGGTGACAGAGCAAGACTCCATCTCAAAAAAAAAAAAAAAAAAAAGGCCTTTCTACAGTTAAAAAAAAGTATGACATGCATATATTCATACTTCTCAGTCATCACAGGGTAAATTTAAAACTGATTTATTAAAAAGTTGTCTTGTTCAAGAATTCCAAGGACAAAGAATTTTGTGAAATACTGTATTTTTATTTAAGTGAGTTTTTTCTTTCTAATTCCACACTTCAATCTACTATTTTTCATAAGCAAATTGATACCCAAGTTTTTTAGGAGGCTGACATATTAACTACAGATTTCCTATGCAGTGAACATGCTTATGATAAATCTGCATTGTCCAACTACTTTGTTGGGACAGTTCCCATGGATTGGAACTGCTCGGGCGAAGTATATGCAAAATCTACATTTTGAGTAAATTTCCTAAAATCGAAGCAAGCTTTCCCAGTGTTTGAATGTTTCCCATTTCCTAAAACTGTTCAAACATTAGACATCAGTATTTTTAATCGCTGATAATGTAATGTTACAAAGAAATTGCTTTTTTCCTCCTGTTAAAGTTAAGCTAGATACTCTTCGTATAGCTTATTGGTTATTTATTTCATTTTCCTCTGTTCCTTTTATTTTCCCTTCCCTTGTAATACTAATCTCTTTATTACTGATTTCGAAGAGCTCATTTCTGATTAAGATGTTAACATTTTGTCAAGCATTGCAAATGAAATACCATGTTTATGCCTGTTTATTTTACTGTGGTGTTTTATTTTTTGGTTCTACGGAAGTTATGTATTAAAATATGATCCTGTTCTGTTTTATGGCCAAAAACAAACAAATAAATAAATAAATCCTTTGTAAATCTGAATTCCTACTTTACATGTTTTTTGCTAAATATCAGTTTTCTTTTCAATAGTTGCAACTGACAGATGAACTTTAAAGTACCCATAGCACTGGTATCAATACCAGCTTATTCTCTGGCTCCCAAGATCACACGACAAGATCAAAGTCTGTGTGAATGGCATTACAGGTATAAGTGATCTTCGAGTCCACCTAGGAATTTCTGTAATCATAAAATTTGGTAGTTTACTTATACTTCCCAAATATACTTACCATGACACACTGTTATGATACCACGTTTAAGAAGCACTGCCTTGAACCTTGAACCAACCTAACCACCATAAAAGTCATACAAGCTATTAAAATGTACATACTACATGTATCTACAGAGGCAACTTGTGTTGAAGACCCTATTTTGTTGAATTATCTGATACAGAAATAGCTTCCTTTAATAATCCTCATACCTTCCTCCAAAGCTATAAATTGAGGATGATTTTTTTAATTTACAAGAATGAAAATATTATTTAAAGGTATAAAAAAGAAATGTACTATGAATTAAATTGACCTCTTTTATAAAGTGAAAATTTCATATATTAGATTGGCTTAAAGTAGAGATAGACTTTTTTCTTCCAATGCTGACATTCGGATCTAATAAAATCCCCTCTTGGGTTTCACTGAAGCATTAGAGTAAAACTCTGTGAAACAGAAAATTATTCACTAAGATTTTATGTCTTCATTAAATTGTTCTGAATTCTCCACAATAAAAAAAATCAACATGTGTCACTTTTAAAATCAGGAAGAAAATGTATTCAAAAAGAAAGATGTTAAGAAAAGCTACCCACCACCAGCAGCTATGGGAATATGTTCAGTCTCAACCTCATACCAACTGCGGTAAATTCCCTCCAGTCTACTCATCACTACTGTATGTTTGCAATTACACTGCTCAACTCACATACATTTTTGGTTTGGTTAACTTCATTTCTTCCCCTCCCCACAACTTCATTGTTGTAGACCATAAGGCAGCCAACAGGAACTTCAGTATTTTCTAGGGCTTCTTTGGCCTGAAACACAAAGTGGAAAATGTAAGATGTCATACTCCATACTTGAAAAGAGTATGGGAAAGAAAGATGCAGCACAAACAGGATCCATATGTATAAAGACTAAAACAAAGAAGTGCAGCTTTCCTTTTTCTGGAATATAGTTCCATTATGGCATTTAGTGCCTGTGTTCTGTGTTGTGTCCATGTTAAGGGAGACTCAAGAACAAATCCCCTTCCTAGGTCCAGAGCCTGATTTCTCCTTACCGGAAATGGATGTGATCAAAGAAGACTGTTACTGACCACTGTTCTTAAAGTGCCAGAGTCTATATGCCTTTTCAGATATAGAATATGTATTTGCAAAAAGGTAGGGGAATAAATAACACTTACAAATCTTTTATTAGAATTCTTTCCTTATTGAAATTCCTTTGCTTCTCTAAAAATTATAGAAATTATCCTCTAGAGTCCCAATAGCTAAAGGTAACCAGACCGGATGTCACCCTGTCCCACAATTTCTACTCTATGTGAGACAATAAGAGTTTAGAAGTACTCTATGTAAAATAGCACAATCATTATGAGAAACATTTTGGAAATTTCTTTAAAAAGTAAAGATATACACAGTCTATAACAAAATTCCACTCCTAAGTACTTAAAAGAAAGGAATATGGATGTACAAAAAAAAAAAGCTAAAAAAAAAAACTAAAACCTTGAAAAAGAATGTTAATAGCTAAAACCTGAAATGGCACATGTGTCTATCAACAAGACAATGGATAAACAAACTGTGTCCTACTAATGTAATGGAATAGTAGTTGGCAATAAAAAGGAACTACTGATACTGCCACACATGGATGAGTCTCATAGACATGCTAAATAGAAGTCACACATAAAAGCACACATACTATATGATTCCTTTCGCACAAAGTACTAGAATAGATAAAACTAAACTACAATGACAAACTGCAACAGTGGTTGCTTTGTGGAGGGGTATGTACAGATTGATTGGAGAAGGACACAAAAAATTTTCTGAGGTGGTGAAAACTTTCTGGTTCTTGATAAAGACATGGATTACAGAGATGTTTGCGTTATTCAAAATGATTTGAAGAATACATTTACTACTTGTGCATCTCACTGTATATATAGTATACCTCAACTGGAAAAAATCAGTGAGAGAAACAAGTTTAGGAACACTTCCATGACCATCATCCCAGGAATGGGAAACCAATTATTATATTCTCAAAGTTCCCTTTATCACAGGCAATTCATTTTTCTTCTTGCTCCATTATGGCAGCCCTGGACCCTCGGAAAATTAAAGAACTCTACCTTCAGGCAGAGAGCTTAAGCAAGCAGGTCATGCCTCGGTACAACCTGATACTGCCTCTGAGAAGCAGAATAAGGGAAGAGGATAATCTTCCCACTAGTGTACAGTCGTTTTCATCTCAATGCAGTCAAAAGAATGTAACTGCTGTACAGCTGTTTCTAGAAAGGCAAGGTATTCCTTACTGTGGCAGCCCTGAAGACACTTTGGAAGACTTAATTCTCATTTAAGTGCAGGTACTTATACACACCGTAGGGCAAATAAAATACAAAGTTGAAGGCATTGTCTTTAACAATGCCTTCTGTCTCCTGCACTAGTCTCTTACTCCCAGTTCTACTTTATTTAACTAGTGACAACTTCCTATCATAATGGATACAGGATTTCCTTAGTTACTCTAACCATGCTCAGCTGACACTTATTTTTCATTTGGCCATTACAAAAGAAAGGAGCCCATGGCAGGAGCAAACTGGACCTGACTTTTCTCCGTCTGGTTGTTGGGTTAGACATGGGGGTGTGGAGAGATGTGAGGAGACAGTATATGATGCAATAAGACTGCATTCTTCAGGACTGCTTCATGAACTATCCTCAGGCCGGTTGTGTCCCAGCTCTGTGATGGTGGTGAAAGCATGTCCAGTTTATCAAGTTCAAAAGCCTTGAAGAGTCTCAAGGTTTGTTTACTATAGACAAATGCACCAGAGGCTACTATAGAGAGGAAAGTCACGAGGAAGACAGACAGTTAAGGAGGATGGAGATGCTAACTACCAGTGTAGCTCCAGCAATTCTTATACTAAGAATATTATTTAAGATAAGTGTAGAATTACACAGAGATCCAGTACACAGAAGAGACAAATGATTTATTCATGCAAAAAACATTTGTTGAGGATCTTCAGATGGAGGGATTATCCCAAATTATCTTGGTGGGCCCTAAACGTAATCACAAATGTCCTCCTAAGACAGATGTCTGACACAGAACGTCACAGAAGAGGTGAAGTGATGCTGGAAAGAGAAAGAGATTTGAAGATGCTGTACTGCTAGCTTTGAAGATGGAGGAATGGGTCATAAATGTCACTTCAGAACCTGGAAAAGGCAGGATTCCAGAAGAAATTTGGCCTTGCCAAAACCTTGATTGGAGCTCACTAATATTTCAGACTTCTGGCCTCCAGAACTATAAAAGAATAAACTTGTATTGTTTTTACCCATCATATTTGTGATAATTTGTTACAGTGGCCATAGGAAACTAGTACATCCAGCAAAGAGAAAGAAAAAAAAAGCTAAAATCGGAAAAAAATACTTCCAAACCACATATTTGGCAAACCTCTAGTATCCAGACTATATAAAGGACTCTTAAAACTCAACAGTAAAACAATAATCCCATTAGAAAAAGTGTCTTCATCCATTTGTGCTGTGATAAAGGAAGGCTGGGTAATTTATAAAGAAAGAAGTTGATTTGGCTCACAGTTATGTAGACTGTACAAGAAGAATGGTATTAGCATCTGCAGTGAGGGTTCAGGAAGCTTCCACTCTTGGCAGAAGGCAAAGGGGAGCACACATCACACGTTAAAAGAAAAAAGGAGGGGATGGTATATGCTCATGATAACAATATAACAAGAACTTGTTACCACAAGGATGATTTATGAGGTATCCTCCCCATGATCCAAACCTCCCAAAAGGCCCTGCTACTAACACCAGGGATCAAATTTCAACATGAGATTTGGAAGCAACAAATATCCAAACTATATGAGAAGGCAAAAGACAGACATAGCACCAAAGAAGATAACACAGATAGCAAGTAAGTACACGAAAAGATGTTTTCACATCATTAGCTGGTAGAGAAATGCAAACTAAAACCACAGTGCAATATTACTACACACCCATCAGTATGACTAAAGTGAAACATAAAAACAACAGCAAATGCTGGCAAGGCTGTGGAGAAATGATGTAACTCATACATTGCTTGTGGGAAAATAAAATGGTAAGCTACACTGGAAGATAGTTTGGCAGTTTCTTAAAAAGCTAAACGTGCACTTAACATATGACCTAACAATTCCACTCTTGGGCATTTATCCCAGAGAAATGAAAACCTATGTTCACATAATACATGTTCATGTACACAAATGTTCATAACAACTTTATTCACAATAGCCAAAAACTGGAAACAATGCAAACACCCTTCAGTGGGTGAACTGCTAAACAAACTGTGGTATATCTATGCCATGGGCTGCAATGCAGCAATAACAAGGAATGAACTATCAATAATATCAACAACTTGGATGGATCTCATGAGAATCATGCTGAATGGGGAAAGCCAAGCCAAAAGGTTACATATTCATGTATATAACATTTTTGAATAATAAAACTACAGAAATAGAGAACAGATTAGAAGCTGCAGCTATAAAGAGGTAGTGCAAGGGAGTCATGTGGTAATGGAACAGTTCCAGTGGTGGTTATACAAAACTGCATAGGAACACACACATACACACACACACACAAACACACACACACACATGTTCAAATAAAACAGATGACATCTTAATAAGCCCTGCAGAGTATCCCAATGCAGTTTTCCTGGTGTTGCTACTGAACTACAGCTATGCAAGATGTTACCACTAGGGACACTAGATACTTGGGCCTTCCCAGTATATTATTAGTGTAATTTCTCGTGAATTTATAATTATTTCAAAACAAAAATTAAAAAATAAATAAGTACAGGTATACAAAAAGGACTTCGCAATGGAGACTAAGAAGAGATGTTTAATGAGGCAAGAGGAAAACCAGAAATATTTGGTGTTATGGAAGACCCTAGAAAAAAAACTAGGCCAAGAAGGAAGGGTGGTCAAGTGTGTCTAATTCAGCAAAGCAGTGGCAATTTAGGTGGAAAGGTGGAAATGAAAACCAGTAGCTTGAGCGGTGACTTATCTAAGAGGTTAAATTTTTAACTCCAGCTATACTTTCCCCAACGAACATCTTAAAGGGTAATGTTTTGTCTACATCTCAGGTATTCTGGTCTGGACAGCCTGAAAATAAGAGCTTACAATTTACTGAAAGCTAAGTTTGATCCAGAAGTATTTTAAGCATTTTATAAGTATTAATTCATTTCATTTACAAGCCTATAACAATCTTCCCCATTTTACAGATGAGGAAACTGTGGCATAGGGAGATTTTTTAATGTATGTAACTAGCACACGTGAGACAGTTGGAATGAGGGCACAGACAACCTGGCTCCACTTATTCTTTTGTTCAACAAACGTTTGTGGAGCACCTACCAGGGACCAGATTCCAGGGCTCTCTGCCACTGTTTTGCCTCTAATTTCTACTTTAATAACCACAAACATTTCACTGATCGGCTGCTTTATCAGGGTTTGAGTTCAGAGTGAATAAAGGGACCAAATGAGAGAGAAGAGTTAGCAAGAGAGTGAGACATGGAAATTTTAAGGATACAAAAATGGCAAGAGTTCAAGGCTGCAGCGGGCTATGATCATGCCACTACACTCCAGCCTGGGTAACACAGCGAGACCCCATCTCTAAAAAAAAGTGAAAAATAGGCCGGGTGCAGTGGCTTATGCCTGCAATCCCAGCACTTTAGGAGGCCAAGCCAAGTGGATCATCTGAGGTCAGGGGTTTGAGACCAGCCTGGCCAACACTGTGAAACCCCATCTTTAATAAAAATACAAAAACTAGCCAGGTGTGGTGGTGGGTGCCTGTGATCCCAG